AAGAGGTAATTTTTATGGCAACTTTAACATAGCAAAGTCTATATATTCATACTGTGTTTAGCATCAGGGGGCCTCTGTCTAAATTTGGACTTGTAGGCATGATTGCAATATGGAAGTTAATATATCAGTAACAAACCAAATCCCACAAGCTTCAACTGACAAGTCTGGGCTTGGTGAATGAGACACTCCAAAAGTTAGAGGAGGAAAATATCTTTTAACCTATCTCTGGGGTTCAGTAGATAAACATAGTTTTGCTTTGCTCTCTCTTCCCCAAAATCATAGTAGGCAGAAAATATGTTGTCACATTATCAAATCAGGTCTATCAAATCTTATCCACCCTTGCGCATTAGAACTAAATTGTTTCTTCCATATCTTTGAAGCCCCTTTGCACATAGAATATGGTTTTGGACTTGCTATGCAATATGTAAATTAATTTTTAAACTCAGTAGTGATTACGGAGCAATCATAGCTGCCCCATTGTTGAGGCTGAACTTAGTTTCCCACTAAAAGTCTTATTCTCAGCACTGATGTAGAAGTTAGCTTATGCCTTAAAGCTTGATGATGTGCATCTCTTCCAGACTCTCTCAGGGCCATCTATTAGGAATGTAACTGTGTTCACTTTTCTCAGAATTTTAACTAAGAATGTTGGCATCCCGGGGTGGGAGTGGAGGTTGAGGTTGGGGTTCTGTGTGTGAGAGAACTGTGGGGAAAGGAGTGCCAAGTGTTTCCTTCTTGCACAGAAGTGGCTGCAGATTGTTGCTGCCTCAGCACAAGCTCCCCATGCACATCATGGGCAGCAGTACCAGCAGCTTGTGCTCCCTGGGGGCTGTCAGTCTGGCACACCCCTCTAAATTGGCATCTAGGGCTGTTGCCACATTCAGCCACCTCTGGTTATACTACTGCCTTTTCTTTCTGCTCAAGTCTGTGGATCCAAAAGATGGACCCTTCTTGCTGCTTTTTATGACTTCATCTTAGAGCTAAGATAATGGCATGTAACAAATATAGACACATTGGGCGCATCCAGATAAGTGCGCACATGCAATATGCCATACGCGGGCACATGCCATATGTGCAGGCATTCCCCGTGCTGCTAATTTGCAGCATGGGGCATTTTTTTGACACTGGGCAATCCCAGTGTCAAAAAAATCTGCTCTAGAAAAAAGCGGGACAGCGCATGTGGCATCAGTGTGCACTGCCCAAAACTGGAGCCTGGCTGGCTGGAGTCACTCTTTGGAGGCTGGTCAGGGTCCCTGTTCCTGGATTGCTGCCAGAAGGCCCCAGGACTCCAGGTAAGTCTGCAGGGACCAGCCCAGGTGCTGGCCCCAGTCTCCCCTACCCCACCCAGGGCTACTTGCCATGTGCCAGAGCATGCATGAATGTGTGTTCCTGAGGGACAAGTAGCAGTGGTACAATTATGGGGAAATGTATGTGCACACTCATCTGGACACACTTATTAAGGTTTTCAGAGACTCGAGCTGAATAGACACCTAATTGGTGGAATAGGACTTGGCTCATGACTTTTAAATGCTTACTGCAAATGCATATTATTCATATAAACGTGACAAAGCAAATCAACAAGCAATGGCAAGGTTGGGTGGGCAAAGTAAGGAGATAATGGGCGATGAAAGACTGTGTGGAAAAAGGCAAGCTGACTGGCTTCCTGCAGTATGTCTTTCCAGAGTTTCTAATAGCTGACCAAGTTATTTTTTGTTTGTAGACTTACTGTAGAGAGATTATATTTTTCTGTTTTTAAACTGAACACCACTGAGACACATTTTCCACATGAATGCTCTTTAAATTAGATTTTAATTTTTGTGAAAATATGGAAAAGACAAAATTCAATTTGATGCCAGTTCACGTAATGCAAAGGAGACAGGGCGCAAGCTTGAACTTGTTCTAAGCCAAGTATTATTAGACTGTTATCTTGTCATTAAGAATTGCTTTGAGTCTATCTGTTCAGCAACTCTAATTAATGATCATTTAACTGTACTGTCAGTCCTGTTTAAATGTGAGTGTTGCCAGTTGCTTCCTTCATCTCACCAGCCAATAGGAACTGAGGGAGTCATTCATGCATACCATTGTCCTAGTGGCTCTGGGCCTATAACATCCCAATTTAATAGGGCATTCAGAGCTCATTAGTGAGGAAACACATCAGGAGTGACCGCTCCAGTGCCACACGTTGCGGCTAATAGCCTTGCCGAACAGAATCGTTTCTGTTTCTGCTCACTTGTTTTTGAATCCTTTCAATGTCAACAAGTGGTCATGTCGGCAGGAGCCCGCCATTCTGCCCAACAGTTTTATCCGTTGCTCTCCTGAGCCAGACTTGTGTCCTCCTCCATTGTCTAACCCACAATGGAGCCTGAGCAATCACAAAGGCTTCACAGCCATTCATCATCAGCTCACAAATTCTGTGGGCAAGATTACCCGCCAAACTTTTGGGACGTCGTGTTGGCATAATGTGTGAATACCCATGAAATACAAATAGTTTCTGAAGTTTACACTTTTGTTTCAAATGCATGGAGGGGGAAAATAAAACCTGACATAACTCTGGCTAGAAAGAATGTAAGATTCTATAGAAGAGGGTTAAGAAACAATGACAGAGCAATTGGAATGAGAGGTGTAGCGAGCAGTGCATAAATGCCCTTGGAAAAAATGGCACAAGGGAAAGCGGAGGTAGGAGGAGGGAAGGTGTAATCATGCTTTTGGCTGAGAAGCCTCTTTTTGGAAATGTTCCCCCTGCCATAAGAGGAAGCACAGACAGCCCTTGTGTTATTCAGTTCCACGAGGCACAGGCCCCTCCAGATCCTTTCCCCTATTTCTATTCATGCAATTACTTAATACGTCTTTTGTGGTTATTGGAAACTTAACTGGTAAAAGGCTTATTCAGAAATACATTAGTGTTGTTTAGTATTTGCATTATAGTAGCGCTTAGGCCCCATTATGTTAGGCACTGTGCAAATACGAACTAAGGGACAGCCCTGTCCCAAAATCTTGAATAGGAAAGACAGACAAATTTGGGAGAAAAAGAGCATTGATTTCCCTACTTTATACCTGATAAATTAAGGCACAAGGACTAAATGAATTGTCCATGATCATGCAGATCAGTGGCAGGGCCAGGATTTAAAGTTATGTCTTCTGTGTCCCAACTCAGTGTCTTGCCAGCAAGACCATCCTCCCTCCCTCAGTCTACAGCCTAGGGGATTCTATTGAATTCTGAAAGACTAAGGGCTTTTCTACTATGGGGAGTTAGTATGTAGTATGTATGGGCATGCCTACATTAGACGTTCACTGTGGAGCTGACTAATTAGCTCTGCAGTAAAGTCTCAGGGTCTACATGTGTGGCCCTATTAGGGTGCAGTAAACTAATAAACAACACCGTAGAATAGTGCTTGTCAATACAAGTACTATCCTATGGCGGTGTTATTTAGTGTGCTGCAACACATATAGACAATGACGGGGCTGCCTGGGATACAAGGGTGCTTCAGTGCAGGTGCTGCCTGCTGGCTAGACTCACACTGGAGCACCCTTGTGCCCCAACAAACCCCTCCACAGCCCATTGAGCCGAGTCAAAACAGCTCCAGGCTGACAGGCTGAACTCCCAGGACTCCTGCCAGTTGGGGCTACTTTGAACTGGCTCAATGTGCTGCAGTCCCACGTGCATGTGCAAATGTGGTGCTGAGGAGCAATAAACTCTGGCGTGAACTGCTCTGGAGTTTATTGCTTCTCATTAATAGTATGTGTAGATGCACCCTGTTAGTGTGAATTTATAGAGCCTTAGCTACAAAGTGTTAATTTCCTCTATAGATGTGGTTAGTACAAAGAGCAGCTCTTCAGTGTGGCTTATTCTGCTTTGAAAGTTGTATTAATCCATTATTTGAAAATAGTTTATTGCCACATGGAACCACTGTTAGTGCGTGCTATTTAATTTATTAATTTGTATGCTTACATGCTATGTTGAATAGGGACTGAGGAGTCACAAGCTTAGCATAGAAGCTTCTGAATTTTAAGAGGATTGTTGCCATTTGGGATACACAGGACTGACTGAAACACCTCATCTCCCTGTACACTATCTGGGGAGAGTTGGGCATCTTGGAATGGGACTCAGAAGAGCCAGGATGTTGAGCAGGAAGTCATCTGAGTTAGGGAAGGAAAAGCTTCCTCTTTCTCTTTGCTGCAGGGCTTGGTCTGGTATGCATTTTTGGAGAACCCCAGCGCATCAGGGCCTACAGATGAGAAAGGAGGAAGAATGCTAGTTTGTGAGCCCTGACAAGGTTCACAAACCTTAGAGGTGAACTAGGTGCCTAGCCACTGAGCTTTGTCAGGTTCTCCACAAGCACAGCACAGACATTTAGAGGTCTTGGGAGTTTTGCTGGTGGAACCATAAGCATCTTTGTGACTTCAGGTGCCTCTAGGGCTAGATGGCAACTGAATGAGGATTTTGAGGATCCAGATTTTGAACACAGGTGCCTAAAATGGCAGTTAGGTGCCTAAGTCACTTTGCAGACTTAGCTGTTAATGTACATGCACAATGAACCCAATGGATCTTAGAATAGGATTTGGCTTTGAGTCTTGTTCTGTTGTCAGTTACCTATGCCACTCCCACTTACTATATTGGCAGTGATACACATGTGTTTGTGGTCTGCAAATACATAATTTTGTCTTTAGTCTCTAAAGCAGTTACTGGAAGAGGAAGCTGATTCAGTCACTTCACAGTCAAAGCAGTAGATTCTGAACTTGTTATTAACTAGATTTGGGCATAACCTTGAGATCGTGACTTAACATTTGGGGGAGGGTGTACACATTCATATGTTTTACTTCAGGATTGTCTGTGATGATATGTGAAAGCAAAAATATATAGAAAATAAAATAGAATGTGATATTGATTTAATTTTTTTGAAAGAGCAGTAGGTAGCTTAGAGGACATCAGAAAGAAAGGAAAATGTAGTATATAACATTTGCTTTTCTTTTTTGTTTTTGTTTCCATTGGTGATATTGTGCAGCAATTTTATGAAATCATTGATTGGTCGCATGGATTTTAAGGCCCTGGAATTGAAAATATACAAAGCTAAGGTAAGCTTACAATTTGACTATTCTTTAAAAATATCCATTCTTTGTTAGGTTGTCACCCTAGATTTGCTATAAAATTTTGCAGCTGAATTTGAGAATCATATTAGATAGATAGATAGATAGTATTACATAGTATGTAAGTATCTAAGCCTGGGTGCTTAGATACTTACTGTCACGGAGCACTAGGGTGCCCCGTGCCTAGAGAGGAGAAACTGCCAGGGAGAGAGAGAGCCCTGGCAGAGCATAATGAGCCCAGCTGAGTGTTGCCAGGGTAACGAGCCCAGCTGTGGGTTGCCAGGGCAACTAAGGAGAGCCAGCTGCCTGTAGGAGGCAGTGCCTGGCCCTTATAAAGCCCAGGGCTGAGGACAGGCTGGCAGTTCCCTGCCAGCCGCCAAGGAGGCAGGAGCTCTGGGAGGGAGGATGCGGGGAGGAGCCTAGTAGCAAGTACCAGGAAGAAGCCTGACTTGCAAGTACAGCTCACGATAGCCCTGAGAGGATTGGGCACTATGGTTTAGCCAGGGGGCTTTATGTTTGCGTTACAGCCAGGAGGCTCTAGTTTATGTTCGGCTTACATAAACCAGAGGTTTGGGTGAGGCTGTAGGGGTTGGAGGAGACGCAAGGCAGCCTCCCTATTACATTTACTTTAAGAGCAAAGACGTGGCGGGCAAGAATGGAGGGTGCCCTTGGACCAGATTAGCGCGGAGAGAGGGCCTTGAGGAGATCACGGCCCTCCTGAAGGACCCCGCCGTGACACTTACCTACACCAAGGATTCCAAGGATCTGGAATGGGCTTCCAAGAGAGGTGGTACTATCACCTAGCTTGGAGGTCTTCAAGAGGAGGCTAGATAGTCACCTGGCTGGGGTCATCTGACCTCGGTCCTCTTTCCTGCCAGGGGGCAGGGGGTTGGACGCGATGATCCATTGTGGTCTCGTCTGACTCTACAATCTATGAATCTACACCTGTGAGTAAACCTCTTGAATTCATTGGGACTGTTCATTTGCTTAAAATTAAGTACAAGCAGAAGTGCTTTACTAAACAGACACCAGGACACTCATCATCTTGAAAGAACAAGCCCAAGGCTATGCACAAACTTTTTGGAAGTGGAACTTCCCTGTGGGCATATCACAAAGGCATATGTTAAAGTCAATAGATATGGATATTTCACAGGATGTGTCTTCTTCATTTACTTTTTTAATGTTTCCTTTTGTTTCATAGCTTTAAAACATCCATCTCAATGTAGAATATTCCACCAACTACCATACATGGTGGAAGTTCTGCTCCTTTGACAATTTAACAAGTAGAAAAGTATTAAAAGATACCATGTAAGGAAGAAGCCTGAACTGGCAAAGTGAAGCATCAGTAACTGAGCAGCTCTCATCTATCTTAGAAACGTAAGTGGTGCACCCTCAACACCATGCTGTCAGAATATCTTACAGGCATTCATGTCTGTTTGCTCAACATCCATCATGTGAAGTATTGTTATCCTCATTTTATTAGATGGAGAAATCATGACATGGTGAGGCTAAGTGATTTGCCCATGGGCTCACAAGTAGTTTTTGGCTTGCCAGGATATTAAACTAGTTCTAGATTAGTGTCTTGACCACTAGACCCATTTTAGAGAACATAAAAGCCCTTAAATTTTTGTAATTGTATACAAACAAAATTACATTAAAAGAATGTGTTGGAGTGGTGATGGTCCAGGAAATATTCAAGGGGCAAGGATTTTTGTGGGCGATCTTTTTTCCTGGACCAGCTACATGCTTAGGATAAACTCAGACATGGTTTTGAATGTAATATCTTCAGCTCTGAGGAAAAAACACGTATAGCAAAAGACTGAAAACACTTTGCTGGTCCGTGAAATTAGAAAGGAGAGAAGTCCCCAGGGGTAATAGACGAACAAAACACAGAAGAAAGGATAGCTTGATTAGTGGAAGATCAAGGCCTTTCAAAAGGGAAGTGGATCATTATCACCTGCAGTGTGAATAATGTTCTAGGCACATAAATACTTAAAAATGAGAAAATGACAGAACCAAAATTCCTCATGAGACCAGTTTTCTTGTGCATATGTATTAATAAATCACCTTAATAAATTGATAACAAAATATTTTTTCATAAGGGACTCCTGTCCGAAGCTGGGATAACAAATCGTTTTCCCATCATGTCCTAATTCCTGAGTTTTCAAAACCATTTTTCATTTTTTTTATCAGGTTAATCCCAAAAAATCTTGAAAAAATTTTCAGGGTAGAAAACGAGGAGAAATACCTATCCCACAATAGTCCACTCTATAGTGGAAGAGGTCCAGCTCAGGTACCATAAATCAAGGAGAACCCCATTCATCTTAAATGAATGCCCTAAAAACTGGCTGTTGCAGAGTGGGTACTTCTTTCTCTCAAGTTTTAGCTAGAGATTCCATCCTGAACCTAACAAACCTTTCTGATAAAAGTTTCTTTGAAAATAACAAAACTGCAGGTATAGCCAGTCAGCACTTTTCAATGAAAAATTGTTTTCTCAAAAAAAAAATAAAAAAAATCCCAGGCAGCTTCAGTCCTGCATCATTAAGAGCACAGGATGTGGACTGTACTCTGGGGATGAATTGGGATTGTTCAATTTTAAAAAAATTGCTTGTCTTTAGGACTCCTGATTCATTTGTTAGAAACTTTGGAAGTGAATATGGCAGAGGATTTCTGAATTAAAAAGCAGGGTTTCATGATTAAGACAATTGATTGCTGCCCTTAGCGAAGTAGATTCTATCCCTGCCTCTGCCAAGGAGTTCCTATGTGGCGCTAACTAGGTCAATTAAACCAAGCTTTGTACAGATGGCCACTAGTTATGTGTTCCTCATTTATGGCTGTCTATCCTGAGATTCAGGAGTCTAATTTGAAAAGAGCTGAACACTGATAACAGCTATTGAAGTCAATAGGAGTTGTACTTTGAACATATAACATGCTATATAATGCCAAATTATCTGGAAAACTAAGTCATAAGCATCTCATATCAAGCACCCATAACTTGAGAGTTTTGACTTTAAACTCTAGGCCCCTATTCTCCATCTTTAAAATGGGGATAATACCATTCCCTTACCTCCCAGGTGTGTTGTGAAAATAAATTCAGTGATGTATGTGAAGTACTTATACCACAGTAATGAGCTCTGTAGAAAAGCATATGAAAAAATAATAATTCTTTCTTCCGATAAGGGTTTGAATGCCATGCAAGAAGTAAGGCTTGAGGCTACATAATGAATTCTGGAGATAAAAAACAAATATTGAATAGTTATTCATTCAGTGAGCACCATCTGTCTTTAGAACTGAATGTCACAGGCATCCTATGAGAGAGAGACAGTATGTGATAAAACTGGAGAACATCCAGAGTAGATAGTGCAGAGGAGAGCAACAAAAATGAAAAGTGGTCTAGAAGACATGACTGATGAGAAACGGTTGAAGGAATTGGGTTTATTTAGTCGAGGGAAGAAAAGACAAGACTGATGGAGGGATAAGTTGTTATAAAGAACACCGTGTTCAATTGTCATCTGTATCCACTTAAGATAGGAAAACAAGTAATCAATTTTAATTTACAACAGGAAAGATTTAGGGAGGCTATGCCATCTCCTTCGGTGAGGATTTTTAAGAGCAAGTTTGACAAACATTGGTCAGTTTTGGTCAAGGTAAACAATTCTGCTTCAGAGGCCAGAAATAGACTGGATGACCTCTTGAGATCTGTTCCTTTGATTGTAGGCCCCTTAGCATATTACATGTTAATCATGGCATAAATGGCAAGGGTGCTACACAGGCATGCAATTTAAGGTGTCATAATGTAACAAACCAGCCATAATAACATTCTACATACAATTGTACAATTATATGTTGAACATTTTTATGGCAGGTTTGTATGGCACCTTAAATTAAACTTCTAAGAGGTCAGGGCTAGGGCTGACAATCAGAAGATTGTCAGCTCCAGCCAGGGACCTCACCAGAGTCTCAAACTAGCTCCGGTTTCTCTCTCTGTCTCTCCATATAGATAGATAGATAGATAGATACTCTATGTGTGAGTGTACCTTCACAGGGACAAGCCCAGGTACCATCTTGGTCACCCAAATTGAGGCAGAAAGATTCAGAGAGCCTGCAGGCCCCACAGAGATGGCAGACTTCTCTTGGCACTGCTCAAGGGCACCCTTTGGCATTGCCTTCTGCAAGGTCTTTCTATTATTGCCCTGGTTTTTTTTAAATTTAATGTTTGTTTGTTGAGGAGAGGGGAAAGATTTATCCATTTTTGGGGATAGCTACAAACTTTGTATAGGACAGAAAGGTGTAGATTTGGGATACGGGAATCCCTCCTAGCTATGAGGCTGGGGAGTGGAAGTGGGTGGGCATAAGGAGTGTGGTGGAAGGAAGTGGGAAGAGACTTCCTATACCTAGATGTGAATGAGGGTTGGGCAGGTAAGAAACATGACTGGGATAGGCTGGAAGGGTTGTTGTCCTGGATTGCAAGCAGGGAAGTAGGTGTGGGTAAGCTGAAATGGAAGTTCTGGGGTGCCATTTGGGAAGTCTATTGGTATTTTTTATTTTGTGGGTTATCTTTTATTATAAGCTACCTTGAGCCTTTCTGGGTAGGATGGGATATAAATAAAATCTAAATAATAATAGTAATATGCATGCAAGTACATTTAGACCACACATTTGGTAGGGATTTCCATACAATTTCCTTCTTGAGAACAATACAACTATTTGAAATAGATTTGGATTAAATCTTTGTTTTGTGTGTGCATATGTATATGTATGCTTGTGTGTTTTTTATATATAAAATACACATTTTTGGAGGAGGGGTCTCTTTCTAAAGAGAGCATTTAGAGTCCCATCTCACATTAATGAAGAGGCTGGGTGCCTTGTCGCCTTTTGTGTCTTAGAAAATTCTCCCTCAGCAGAGTTGAAAATTTACATGAAAAAAATGGGGAAAATATTGGTTGGGGTGAAACCCATAAATTTCTTGGCTATATGAGATAAAGTAA